GGAAGCGGATGCCGAGGGGGGACGGAGATTTTTTTAAAAAGAGTTTTGATTACAAGTTTGGATAAATGGGAGCCAGACCGAGGAGGAGGAGGAAAAACATGTCTACGTTTCCCTATGTCGACATAAGCCACAAAAAAATATGGCGTCCGCTTTCGACAGGGCGTTACGTAGACCCGACTCTGTTTTTATTTATTTATTTCGTGGCCGTCTCCCTCCCTTCTCGGCCCAACTGCGGCGCTTTGTGCGAACGGGGCAGGTCCCGCGGGGACTCCACCGGGACGTGGCCCCGTCTCCGCGCGTTTTGGCAGGCTGGGGGCTGCGTGTGGCGGCTCCCCTCCCTCCCCCGCTCTCCCCTCTTCTCCCCTCTCCCGGTGACGATTCGCCGTAATGTGGTGGCAGGAAGCATGACGCCGTGGGTTGAGGCTGCCTCTCCTCTCGTCGCTCCTGGTGGCTGCAGGCAGCGGGTGCAGCGCGGGCGGCCGACGAGCTCCCGGACGCGGGCAGGGCCGGAGCGCGGCGCTGTCCCCACGCCCTGCTCAGGTGCGCGGCGAGGGGGCTGCGGGGGGCCTCGGGGCCCGGGCCCTGCTGTGCGCGGCCGGCCGGCTGGCCCACGCCCGCAGCCGGTCTTTGCCAGCCCGAGCCCGGCTCAGTCCCCTGAACGGCCGCCGGCGCTATCCGTCTGCCCCACAAGAGGTTAATCTTTGTTGGCGTTGCAGCTTCTTTGTGGCTTCCCAGGACTTGGGATCCTCGGCTTTGCAAACTTGCCCTTTCCTCGGTCGCTTTGCAGGAGGCTGCGGAGACGAAGATGAGCGGAAAGTTGGAAACCAGCAAGCATCACAGGACCGTCCCTTTGGCCTCCTAGCTGTGCAGAGCTCGCGAGGCGGATGAGGAGGGCTGGTCGGGCTGGGGAGAAAACTTGACGGGGAATCCAAGTTGTGATTTGCTCTGGCTTCCACCTGATTGATCGGCTTCAAAACCAGTGGGGTCTCTGCCTTCCACTGTTCCACGATGGCCTTTTGTTTGTCTGGGGCGTGGAGGAGGAGGAAGTGAATAACGACTTGCCCTGGACCCCTCCCCTTTTACAGAGTCGCTGCTCAGCTCGGGCGCCACGGGACCACTGTCTTTTCAGACACCCGAGTGCTTCCCCTACCTGCCCTCTGAGCATCACTTTCTCTCTGGCAGTTAGCGGCTCCCTCAGATCTGAAGGAGGCCCTGTTGGGCTGGATTGGGGGGTCAAGAATCCCTCCCCCTCATCCCTGTGGTCACTCAGACCTCCCTCAATTACCCTTTTACACACACACACACATTAGCCACTCCTTCCTGCAGAGCAGAAATTAATGCCTGCAGAAGTGAAGGAGGTGAGACTCTGAGAACTCCTCAAGAGCTGAGTCAAAAGGTGATTTTCTATTTATGAGGCCACGGGTTTAAGCAGTTCAGTCCCAGGGCAGTAATGTCAAAAAGCATTTGGATGACGACCAAGTGGAATAAATATCTTGTAAAATGGCATGTTTAATAGTAAAAATAGATTCATGGAGCCTTCCAGTGGTAAATGGGACTCACATCAAGGTTTAATTTACGTTTAAAAGGAAAGTTACATAAGCCTGTATACACATTTTCTTTTAAGAATAGAGAAAACCTATGAGTAAGATTGAGATGTTTTCCTGACAATAATAACTGTGCCTGTGATGTGTGGAAATATCATTGCTATGCAAACACTCTGCTCCTTGATTGTTCTCTTGTGAACTTGTACCTTTCTTCTTAGCCAGATTTGAGACCTTGGCAAGGATCCACCTGAAGATAACAGAACTTTCAGGGGAAATTCAGGAGGCCAAAGTGTAGGGTAAATTAGCTAATCCTCATTTTAAAGGGAACAAAAACAAACAAAATGCTGTTTCTTGGCACTGACAAAAGTAAATGCAGAGTCTCTTGATATGCAAAAAGGTGGCCCATCCCGAGTGTCTCCTGCACATCCGGGCCATGTGGTTTAGTGGAATGCTGTGCATTTATCAAAAAGACTCATGGCAATGCTTGATGACTGTTACTAACACCATCATAGTATGCCAGGCATGGTGCTGTGCATTTTACATGTTTATCATTTAATCCTAGCTATGACACGTTGAACTAAGTATTTTTATTAACCATGATTTATGGTTGAGGAAACAAAGGCTCAGAAGGGTGAAAAAATTTGCCCAAGCCACAGGGCAATCAGCAGTCAGTGTTCAAAACCAGGCCAGTCTTCATACATTAGCTACTGCATTGTAGCAGCTCCCAGACACAGGAAGTGGAGTCAGGTGGAAGGAGAAAGAGAGGAAGAGCTACTGCCCTGGGCTCTCAACTCAGGAATTTATCTGGATTTCATTTCTTTGTTCATTTTCTTTTGCAACTCTGTGTTGATTTATTTATTCATTCAGCAAATATAATGTTCATTATACTAATAAGAGCCCACACTCATTAAGCACTTTTATGTGCCAGGCACCATCCTAAGTGCTCATGATGAGGCTATTTTGTCTTCATGACAATGCCATAATGTAAGTATGCTCATTCTCTCCTTTTTATAGATGAAGTGAAGGCACAGAGAGGTTAACCAGCTGGCTTGAGAAGGCACAGCTCCCAAGCAAAGTATTAGCCCCCAGCACAAGTGCATTCCACTGCTGCAGAGGGGCACTAACCCAGACAGCCCTGGGGGAGATAGAGACCCCTGGCCTCTATCAGCCAAAGCACTGCTCCAGGCAGTATGGGAATGCGGGTGGAATAGAGACCTCAGGTCCTCTAGGATTTTGAGCAGACAGCAGGGAACACTCATTAGGCCCAATAAAGCAGGATGAAGTAAGTGCTGTCATTGAGAAAGTGACTCCTGTGGAAGCACCAGAAAGCGTGCTGCTCTGAGGGAATCCTGGGGGATCCCCTGGAGGGGCGGTATAGGAACTGACCCATGAATGAACAAGGAGGAGTAGTGTCTGCAGGTGGGTTGGATGTCATTGCATTCAGTTGCTAGCAACAGAAATCCTGCCCACCTGAGACCTAACCAGCTGGGGACTTGTGTGTGTCAGGCAATAACAGGGTGGATGGGCCAATACCTCAGCTGTACCACAGGAAACCCAGTCTGGCTTTCCACTCTGCCTTCCTTACAGTGTAGATAGACCTTAGGCCTTGATCTGTCGTCTCGTTGTAGAAGGTAGCTGCTGTAACTCCAGGCCTCAGGTCTGAATTCCAGAAAAGGGAAAAAAAAAAAAAAAAACAGGATGAGTTTAGTGCAAAGACTATTTTCCTGGTATGGCTTTCTTGTTATATTTGGGAAGAGACACTCCTCCCAGGGACTTCTGTCCTCAGCTCATCAAAGAGAACTATGCCACATGGTGGCTCAAACCTTCCAGGGAGGGACAATCAGGTATTTCTAGTTCAGCACATTGCTGCCATGAACAAACTGAGGTTCAACTTGTAAGGCAGAGGGGTGAACTGGTGGTTGAGTTGGCAGGCAGGATGTGTGCTGCCTGGGATGAGAAGCAAAGAACAGTATTCCTAGGGAAGTAACACAGAGCCTGGGAGCTGCCTGCATCCTAAGGAGGTGGAAAGAGGATGCAGAGAAGGTTGCACAAAGAGGACCCCAGACTGGAGGAGGATGTGGAGGCAATTGGCTTTGATCTACAGGTACTAGGGAGCCATGGCAGGTTTCTGAGGAGGGAATGACATGTGTTTTAGGAAGGGCAGGCTAGCACTGATGACGGTGTACCTTGTGCAGATAAACCACAATTGAAGTAAAATGAGTTCTGGGAAGTTTCAGACTGAGGATCAGTTTTGCTTTAGGGCAAAAAGAAGACAGCAGACAATAAAGGAGTGAGGGGTGGCGGCGGGGGGTTTATTGTAGGTACTGCCAGTAAGAATCCAAAATTGACCTGATCTTGGTGAGCTGTCACCAGGAGGTAACCAGCTCTCCTTTCTCCAGATCTCAACTAGTGGAACTAGAAGTGCTGGAAGAGAACCATTTACCTTTCCCTGAGCATCAGGATTCCAGAATCCTGGGTGCAGATCCACAACTCAGAGCAGAATAACGTTAGTGATAACCCTCACCTGGGCTTGGATCCTGGGGGTAACATCAGAGGGTCTTGGAAGCCTGTCAATCTCAGGTTTGCCATGTTGGATTCCTCCAGCAAGGACTGACTTCTCTGATTCTCTTTGTTCAGTTTTATTAGCTCTATCTCTGAACCTTAGTTTCTTATTCTCTAAAATGGAGATCATCCTCATAACAGCCATATGGGTTGTGGTGACCCTTAAGAAGAAATTTGCAAAGGGGCTGACGTAGGGAGTGTGCCTAACCACTCATCATCACCATGGACATCACCATGACCACCACCTCTGGGATATGACTTTCCTGGGATCCTTGAGGTGCCCAAGTAATTTCCATGCGTTGATTATATCCTCCATCCCAGGATGCTGACTGCCCCCATCTCACTGCCACACACCCCCCCACCACACCCATACACACGTGTGCTTATTTTGTGTGAGTCTGAGCAACTACTGAGATGGAAAACTGTCCTAGGAACACCACAGTGCAGCCCTGGTGCAGCGGACAGAGGGTGGTATTCTGTGTCATGGTCAAGTCCAGATAGCACAGCTCTGGAAGGATGCTTGGCTATTCACATGCCCCTATGCTAGACAGTAAGGTGGGCATTGTTTTTAGTACTGAAAAAGTAGTTTCCTTTTTAACCGAAATTTCTTTTCTCCTCTTTCCCCTCCCCAGCCCTTCTCTCAAGCCCCCT